CAGTGTCTGGCTGTTCTGATTACAGCTGCCCTACACTACATCTTGAAGTCTGGTACTGTGGTGCCTCCAGCTTTGTTTTTGTTGCTAGTATTTCCTTTGCTGTTCTCTCATGCCTCCATATGTTGTTTGGCTTCATTTTTTCTATATCTGAAAAGGATACAATTTTCATTGAATTGCACTGAGTCTATAGATTGTTTTCAGTAGTGTGGACATTTTGATGATATTAATTCTACCAATGTAAAAGCATGATGAATTTTTGTATGTCTTCCTCGATCTACTTAATCTTTTGCAACTTTCATGAGGGAGATCCCTCCTATCTTTGACTAAATTTATTCCACTCTATTTAAATTTTTACAGCTGTGATTAGTTGGATTGTTCTTACAAGTTCTTTATCAGCCATGGAATTGTTTGTGTATATCAAGGCTATTGATTTTTGCATGTTGATTTTGTATTCTGCAACTTTACCAAGACCTCTTACGAGATCCAATTGTCTTTTATTCACAGAGTTACCTTGACGTACTCTTTTGAGATTGTATCTCTTTGATTTCCTTTTCTTGCCTTTTGTTTCTGACTAACACTTCCAGTATTGAGTAGCAGCCATGATGAAAGTGGGCATCCTCATCTGCTTCCAGGTCTTAGTGGGAATGTTTCTGCTTTTTCCCATTCAGTATGATACTGACTCAGACTCTGTCAGGTATTTCCCTAACTGTATAGAGGAATGATCCTTATATACCCAATTTGCTTAAGGTTTCCGTCATGGAAGGATCTTGTATTTTATCAAATGCTCTGCAACTATTGAAAGAATCATAGTTCTTCCTCTTTAGCTTGTTATAGGATGTATCACACTAATTAATTTCCATATATTGAATACCAGAGATATCTCCATACAACAGGGATAAATTCCACTTAATCTGGGTGAATGATCTTTCAGAAGCATTGCTGGATTTCAGTACCTGGTACTGTGCTGAGGAGTTTTGCATTTATGTTCCTCACAGTAATTGGTTTACAGTTCTTTTTGTTGTACATTTCTCTGGTTTTGGCATTTTGATTTTCCCCTAGTTGGTGTGGTAGCTGGAGACTGTCCAAGCAGCCACCTGGCCAGATTTTTCTTTCTCATGCCTAACCAGAATTATATAGAAATTTAAAAACAGACCAAGTTGAAGGAACAAATTGTGTCACCAGAAAGAACTTAATCCTCTTTAAAGATGTGGAGATATTTATTTTCAACAAACTAACTCAAAACACGCATCTTCAAGATGGTCAGTAAGCTTAGAGATGACATAGATAATCCAACTCTAACATCAGGAAAAATGCAAGAAAAAGGGAGAATAAACATGAAGATAACAAAGTATAAAAAGAAATAAATGTTGGCAAAAAATAATATAACGGAACTAGAAGATTTCATAGAGTGCTCGAGAGTGGCATCATATAGGCAAAATGAAGAATCAGCCAGCTTTTTTTGGCTTTTCCAGTAATTTATTTATAAGAGTTTATATCTTTAACACTTTGCTTCAGAGGGGTTTTAATATGCAGTAAAATTGTGAAGCCATCATTCAAAGAGTTCCTACACTCTCCTATCTCATTTAATATATTTCATGTGAATGTCATTGTCTCATTCAACCACACACTTCTTCCACTACTTTTTAAGCACAAAACGCTTTCATAATCTCCACACTCCAGGCATCAACTTTCTATACTCAGGTTGACTTGTTTGGCATATCACAATAGTAACTCAAAAGAACAAAACAAAAGGAACAAAGAAAAGTAAATAGAGACAGAGGTATATATTGAATACCAAAAAAAGTACAGGAATGAGGAAGCCAACATTTACATTCAAAGAGTTCAATGAGCTCCAATTTAATATAATTAAAACGAAAACAAGTTAATCACGCAGGCAAATGATAATCAAATTGTTCCAAGACACACACACACACACACACACAAACACTCACACACACACACTCTCACACACACACTCACAGTCACACACTCACACACACACATTCGAGTGCACACTCACACACAATCACACACTCACAGTCACACACACACACTCTCACAGTCACACACACATTCGAGTGCACACTCACACACATTCACACACTCACACACACACTCTCTCACTTTTCTGGCAGCAGTGAAGGAAAAGTGACTCATTACATGCAGTAGATCTCCTGAAAAACTGGTGGTGTTTTCAGCAAATCCTCAAAGTTCCTGAAAAGGCTCTCATCTCAGTCTTCAAACATTTTAAAGAAACCAGAATCTTTTGGGATGAGCCACATGCCTGAGATTTGTTAAGGCATCAATGGCAGTTCCCTTAAAAGGAGCAGTGTTGTGTTGCTATGCTGAAAGCAATTACAAATTAAAATAGATAGGTTCAAAATGTGTGTGGAAGGTGCCTAGGAATAAAGCAAAAACATATTCAAGGAAGCAATGGTAAAGCTATTTTAAACATTCAAAAACTCTATTTAAAAAAAATCAAAAGTAGCAATACTGAGCCACAAAATAGGGGAAACAAGCACCTCACATATCCAGTGTTCGGGGAGATGAGATTTGGAGCAGTAATGCTTATGTCTGCTGCCTTTTCTCACCAAGCCTGAATGTATGGTAAAGGGACCGGGATAAGACTGTTTTCCTGAAGAACATGTGCATGGCCCTCTTGATGTCCCTGTTTCTCAGGCTATAAATAAAGGGATTTAGCATGGGGGTAACCATCATGTACACCAGTGAGGCCAAGGCAACCTTTCCCGCAGAAAGAGAGAAAGCTGAACTGAGATACACTCCAATGCCTGTTCCATAAAATAAGCAAACCACTGTCAGGTGAGAGCCACAGGTGGAGAAGGCTTTGTACCTGCCACCTGGAGACAGGACACTAAGAATGGAGGAAACAATTTTATACTAAGAGCAGAGGATGCCTGACATAGGGAGGAAACCGTATATTACACTAACAATATAGGTGACTATGTTGCTGCTCAAGGTTTCAGAGCAAGTAAGGTTGAGAAGTTGAGTGGGGTTCACAGAAGAAATTAGCAATTTTCACTCCCTTGAAGCAGGTAATTTGTAAGACCATGAAGTTATAAATCAGGGAATCCAAAAGGGTGGCCACAAAGGACAGTAAAAATAGAAAGCCACAGCGGTGGGAATTCATCATGACCTGGTAATGCAGAGCGTGACAGATGACAACAAACCGGTCATAGGCCATCACTGTCAGAAGGAAATCATCCATGGTTCCAAAGATGATGGAGAAAGACATCTGAATCAGGCAACCTGCATAAGATATGACTGTGCTGAGGGTGAGAATGGTAACCATCAACTTGGGAACCGTGGTGGAGGTGAATCCCACGTCAGCCAATGACAGGTTGCAGAGGAAGAAGTACATGGGAGTGTGCTGGTGGGAGTCTGAGATGACAGCCAGGATGATAAGCATGTTGCCAAACACTGTGAGCAGGTACATGGAGAGGAACAGTCCCATGAGGAGGGGCTGCAGCTCTGGATCCTCTGAAAAGCCCATGAGATGGAATTCTGAGACACGTGTGAGATTTTGGCTTTTAGTATAACCTGGGAACTGTATGTAATAGAAAATAATGTTAGTCTCAGGATAATTAGGCATCCACTTCTTGTAGCCCCTGACCCTTATCACCCTAATCAATTCTGTAAAAATCATCAAAAATAAAAAGAATTATAAGAAAGAGATGGTCAATCAAGCTTAAATATAGCACAATGTAACTACCATCAGGAAAAATGCAGGAAAAAAGGAGAATAAACAAAGATAGCATAAACAATAAATAGAAACTTTTTGGCAAAAAAAGAATATAACTAAATTAAAACTTTTCATACAGTGTTTGATAGTGAGCTACATAGGTAAAATACAGAGTCAGCCAATTTTTGTTTTTTTCAAATAATTTATTCACTAGCATTTATATATTTATTTTCAACATGTTATTTTAGGGTAGGTTTAAATTGACAGCAGAAGTGTAAAGCAATCATTGTGGAGTAGAGGGGTTTGGGGAGGGGGTAACCTTGGGTATCAGGGTTGAAACTTCCAGCAGCCAGCAGCAGGTGAGTGCCAGGCCAGGGCCTCTCCATGCACCAAGTCCTCATTCCAGCTACCATGTACACACGGTGAGCTGTCCCTGGACCTGCCTGAGTTCCAGAAGCTGCTCCTTTCTTGGTAAGTACACTGAAGGGAGAAGTCTGGAGAATTAGGCATGCCCGGGCCGCACCCACTGCCATCATTGCAAGGCGGAGGGGTTTGGGGAGGATGCCACCGTGGGTCTAGAGGTTGAAACGTCCAGCAGCCTACTAGCTGCTGATGGGTGCCATGCTGAGGCATAGGGCCATCTGGCAGCCACAAAGTGAACTTCAAAACCTTCAGAATTTGAATAAGGAAGCAGAAATATACACTCAAAAAGCTCAACAAACTTCCATATAGTAAATCCAAATAAAAGTTAATCACCAAAACAAATATAATCAGATTGCTCCAAGTCAGAGAAACAAAGAGAGAGAGAGAAGAGAGAGACCTGGCAGCAGTGAGGAAAATGACTCATCACATGAGTAAAACTCCTAAAAAACTGTCAGAGTTTCCAGCAATCCTCAAAGTTCCTGAAAAAGTGGTCATCTCAGTTCAAAAAGTTTGAAGAAACCAGAATCTTTGGGGATGAGGCCCATGCCTGAGATTTGTTAAGTCACCAATTGGAGTTCCCTAAAAAGGCACGCTGTTATGGTTCCACCATAAAAGCATGTACAAATTAAGGTAAATAGATTCAAAATGTGTGTGGAACATACCTATGAATTATGGAGAGGTAAAAGATCTGAAAAAAAAATAAAGCACAGAGAAGTCTACAGGTAAATGAATCTCAGGAGGGCAGCGGTAGAGACATATTAAAAAACAAACGTAATACTTTACATGAAAAAGTACAAAAGAGCAACATTCAGACACAGATATGGGGAAAACAAGGGCCTCACATATCAAGAGTTTAAGGAGGTTAATTTGTGAAGAACTAATGTTTAGGTCTGCTGCTTGCCCCCACCAAGTCCAAATGTGTGGCAAAAGGACTGGATGAAGCTGTTTTGTTGAAGACCTTACACATGGCCCTCTTGATTTCCCTGTTCCTCAGGCTGTAGATAAAAGGATTTAGCATGGGGGTGACCACAGTGTACACCACTGAGGCCAAGGCACCCCTTCCAACAGAAAGTGAGAAAGCTGAACTGAGATACAGTCCAATGCCTGTTCCATAAAATAAGCAAACCACTGTCAGGTGAGAGCCACAGGTGGAGAAGGCTTTATACCTGCCACCAGGAGATGGGATTCTCAGAATAGACGACACAATTTTATAGTAAGAGAAGAAGATCCCTGACATAGGGAGAAAGCCATACAAGATGCTTACAATATATGTGAATATGTCACTGCTGAAGGTGTCGGAGCAAGTAAGGTTGAGAATTTGTGAAGGGTCACAGAAGAAATTAGCAATTTCCACTCTGTTAAAGCAGGAACTTTGTAAGACGATCAAATTGTGCAACAGGGAATCAGAAAGGCTGGCCACAAAGCACAACAAAAATAGAAAGCCACAGCAACTAGAGTTCATAATGACCTGGTAATGCAGGGGGTGACAAATGGCAACAAACCGGTCATAGGCCATCACTGTCAGAAGGAAATCATCCATGCAAGCAAAGACTACAAACACAGACATCTGAGTCAGGCAGCCAGCATAAGAAATGACTGTGCTGTGAGTTAGGATGTCCACAATCATCTTGGGAACTGTGGTGGAGGTGAGCCCTACATCAGCCAATGACAGGTTGCAGAGGAAGAAGTACATGGGAGTGTGCAGGTGAGGATCCAAGGTGACAGCCAGGATGATGAGCATATTCCCGAGTACTGTGACCAGGTACATGGAGAGGAACAATCCCAGGAGGAGGGCCTGCAGGACTGGATCCTGTGAGAAGCCCAAGAGGTGGAATTCTGAGACAATACGTGTGAGATTTCGGGTTTCAGAACAACTTGGACTCCTTCTGGAACAGAAAACAGAACTGCATCCATTGTTAATGAAATAGTCATGGCTGTAATACAAGTGTTCTTCAAATGAATTTCGGAATATGGAATTAAAAATGTGTTTGTTTACGTGCAATCCAATTTGAAGTCCACCCAATTTGTTTTATGGGATAATGTGACAACCCCTCTCATGTTAACCGTTTGGGGCCACAACTGTGTCTGCCATTTCCCTCGATGGTAATGACCTCAGTCTTTGTAGAATTCTCAAGAATGGCTTCTGTGTTTTGACTGCTTCTGTCACACATGCTATGCAAACACTCCGCTAAAAAGTCTTCAAAGGCCAAGAGCATTAGACCAAAGAAGTCCATCCTTGGCGAATACACAGCCCTTTGAAGAAGAAAGAATAGATAGCTCCTTTCTCTGTAAGAAATATAGTGTTCTGATTAACAGATGGATCTACTTTGATTTTAAGAGCACACACATGGCTTTTACGTGGGCTGTTTATAAGTTCCCTGCTAAAACATTGCATTTTCTAAACACAGAATAAAAGCTGCAGGCTCACAATCAAGAAATGTTTTGGCCATTGTGCTGAATAAAGCTTAATCCTTCTTAGTTTTCTGATTTTCCTGCTATTCAGATGGAAGCACTCACTCAGATGCTACTCGTCTTTGTATGAGTAGCAGCAACAGAAATGGGAACAAGAGAGTTCTCACTATTGCACTTCCCAAAAGCTGCCTTGTCTGTGGTTGGAACAAAATGGAACTGGGACTGGCATACCATCCGGAAATGCCACAGATGTTGCAGAAATCCAAGAACCTGAGCTGGAACTTGGAGTCAGACCAGACCTAGATATGAATCCAGGCACTCCCATGTGTGGGAGGTGGGCGTCTTAACCTATGCCTTTTATCAATCATTCAGTTTGTAACTACTATCCTTGTCAATTTTCATTAAAGTTATTCAGTCAAATGTGTACCAATCTCTCCACCCCTTTGTGTTCATGCCTGTATTCTCCACTGGCTATGAACAGAGTAATGCTCATTTCTAAAACAGTAAACATCCAGGGAATGTTTAAAACCTAAATGTCTTCCCTGATGCTTTTTTTTTTAATACAGAATTCCATCCTGATGGAAATCACAAGATTCAATTGAAAAAAACACCATGATCCAAAGTACTGGAAGCTGCAGTCATGTCTCTACAATATGTCTCATCACAGGCCAAACAAGTTCCACCCCAGACTCTTTCTGTGTTTAGGCCATATCTAAAATAGTGCCTGTCTTTGTTTCTGAATAACCAAAACAATACCATTGTTGTAGATATTAACTCTTATGTGTCCTTCATGAGGCACAAGCCGATGTTATCATATTGTCTCGAGTTGTTGTGCATTCCTGAGAAGGTTGCAAATAAAGCTAGGAAAGCATCAGGTGTACTGAAGCCACATACACCATAGTCAGTTATTATTCTGAGCCTGCGGAACATTTGTTCAATTTGGAACAGAGACTTGTAATGCCTCCTCTGTGCAAAACAACTCTACAGAGAAAGAATATCTTTGCTTGTCCTCCAAAGCAGAGTATGTATGTTTATAAGGTTATATTTATATTCTCCAAGGTTTTAGGATGAATAGAAATTAAAGTGTGAAATCATTTCAACACAAAAAATAGTTGGAATCTATTATTTTGTAATTGTACAAAAGATATCTTATCAAAAATTTGTGCGTGGATTGTAAAAAAGCAAAAGTTGGATCCAAAATAATGTCACATTCTTTAGGTTGTGTCTTTCAGCTTTGAAATCCTCTCTTATAAACACAAACACAACAAAATCTCCTATAAAAATGGAAGGTACAATATCAGGGCAGGGAATATTTCAGTTGAGAGATTTAAAAAAAAGAATCAATTAATAACAGCATTGCCTAAAATGTATGTTGTCCAGCTTGGGTCCATTTGTTATTATTTATAGGCCACATAGGTAGCTGCCATTTCCAATTTACTCCTCACTTGATGTGACTTCATCAATGAGTCAACGTGGATGACAATGGCTAGTGTCAAGGATCCCAAGAAGACCTTCTGCACCATCATAGCACAGAAATAAACAGTGCAGTGGACAGGATGCAAAAAAGTATATTTTCTCTGTGTCTGTTGCATTAAGGATGTCCATTCTTTCCCAGTTATCCAACAGCAGATCAAAACATCAGGTACATCTAGGATCCATTGTCAAGCCCTTTCCAGCTCCTGCAGTAAGAGAGGAATCTGACACCCCCGCTATGGTGTCAGATTTTGGGAGTGGGAGCAAGAGGAGATTCAGTGGGATTGTTACAGGAGCGTAGGAAATAGAAGACGGAAGTGAAACCTTTGAGAAGGCATTAAGAGAGAGATCATCCCTGAATTGCCCTGTGCTTGTTCTGTGAACTTTGCTTTCCTGTCCCCACTGATGAGCACCATGAAGGACTAGGAAAGAGCATGGTGAACACAGATACTCTTGCTGAAAAGAAGGAAGTCTGAAATAATTGCTTGGGTCCCCGGAGGGCAAGACTGGCCACGTGGACTGTAGTCCAATCCCATGGTCCACGTGTGGCTTCTTTTCCTTCTACCTAACAGAAATGTTAAACTTGTCTTCTAGAAAATGATTATGTGTGCAAATACAACCTGACAGATGATGTAGTGCAATGGAGCAAGCTGGTGAAATCACAGAGTTCAGACACTGGCACTTACAGATGCCACGTTCCTGATGCCTTGATTGCTGGCATGCTCATCTTCATGATCATGCTTGTGTTTGCAGAGACAGTTTATACAGACTCAGTTGCTATTGCCTTCCTCCCAATGAGAGGGTTTGTGGATGAGAGAGGAAAGAAAAACTTTGAGATTATTCAGACCTGTTTGGAAAACCATGAACAGCCAAGACATTGTGTGTTGGTTGCTTTCCCTCTGTCTATCGCAACTACCATTTTCATCCTGACCATGAAAACATAATGCTGCTGACATTCCCAGATCTCTCTAATAGTCTCCCTCAGCACCTACCGGGCTGCAATGACTTTCAGCTGAGGCACGGCCCAGGGTGAGGACTCCATTACTCCTCTTCTTCCCCTCATATAGTGGCACCTCAAGAGTCTTGGTTCAGGTCTTGAAATTAAACACACTCATGCCATGTTCTCTTCAGGCAGGTGCTCACTGTGGTTTTTGTCATAGAACAGAATGCCAGTCCAGGTCCAAAGGTGCTGGCTCATTATTTACATTTGGAGGATGTTTGGGGCTCGGTGATCAGAGCTCCTCATTAGCCCATAGGCGTAGGGTATCCCAGTCTCTAAGGACTGGCTGACTGTGGTGAAGAGGGAATGGAGACAAAGTGTATCTGGAACCTTTCCAGAGGAAAACCTCACCTGTGCTTCTTGCTATTAACTTTAACTCTCTTTGCTTCTGGGATCTTCTGAAAAGTTTTGCCTACTGCCTGTGTCTTGGCAACAATATCCATAATGTTTCCTTCTGGTTTGCCTTCTATTATCTTTTTTTTTTCCTTTTAGGTGTTTCCTTCTAGTAATTTGATGATGTTGGACCCAAAAGGACCGATTTTGACTTCATTTTTGTATAAGGTCTACAGTAGGAATCTTGCTTCCAATTTCGGTGTTGTTGTTGAGAATTTTTGCATCTATGTTTCTCAGGGGTACAGATTTATGGTTCTCTTTGCTGTCTATTTCTCTGGGTTTTTTTATTAAGGTGATGATGGTCTCATAAAAGGGATTGGGGGGGATTTGCTACTTTTGCTTAAAAAATAATTTAAACATTATTGGTAGTAAGTTCTTTACTAAAAATTCGGTGGAATTTGTCAGTGAAGCCACACATTCCCGGGCTTTGGTTTTTAGATGCATTTGTCTTACTGCTTCAGTTTCTGTCTTATATATTGGTCTACTTAAGGTTCCTGTGTTATCCTGACTCAGGCAGATCATGTATCCAGAAATCCACCCATTTTTTCTGTGTTATTCACTCTGTTGTTATGTATTTTCTTGTCGTCATTGTCGATGAAACTGTGTATTTGTGGTGTCTGTTGCTGTAATTCCTTTATCTCTGATTTTACTGGCTTGGGTTTTCTCCAACTCTTTTTTTTTTTTTTTTGGTTAGTGGAGCCAATGATGTACGTATTTTGTTTATTTATTTTGTTTACTACATCTCATCTTTAATGCATCAATTTTATGTATCATTTATTAAATTTCAATTTTGATTTCTATAGTTTTATTTCTTTCATGCTACTAACTTTTGATTTGGTTTTCTAGGTCTTTGAGATACATTGAGAGAACACTGACTTGAAATTCACAAAACACTGACCAGATTATGTGGCCCCAAGAGCACACACACCATGTATTTACTGAAGGAGAAGATACTCCACCAAGTCACAGAGGCACAACTCAAAGACAAACACATTAGCGCATAATACCAAGGAATAAATTCAGAAGTGCCCATGTATAAACGCAGAAGTATAAGAAGCAAAAGCAAAAAAGGACAACATGACTCACCGAAAGGAACATAGCCACCATTCCCAGTAGAAGAATGTAAAGACAAGGAAACTAATCAACTTTCTGGCCAGGGTTGGCCCACCCTAAGACCTGACCCATCTGTATGTCAGCATGTATTATAACCTGGCATGATCTGGGCTGCTTCTTGCCCTCACCTGCAGGGACTGCACACTGACAAACAAGTTTCTCAAGCTTCTCTATCTGATCTCTTCATAGTGGCAGATCTTGCCACATCAGTGGGTCCTTGGCCCAGGTTGACTTTGTCCATCAGATGTTGTGGCAGGGGCAGTACCCTTACCCAACCAGCCAACACCCTTGCTGATCCTTAGTGTTGGGTATTACAGCCCGGCCTTACTTGATCCATGCCCAAACAGAGTTCTCTCATGGTTCAGTGGGAGCCAAGATCTAGCCAAGCTCATTCTACCCCCACCCAGACTCATGATTACCAGTGGGTGCTTGAATCCAGCGCAGTCAGGCACTCCACAAAATCAGTCCACATCCATGCTGAGGGAGACTACAGCCATGTCCAGCCCATTCCTCTGCTTCCTTTCTGGCTGTCACATTCACTGTTGGGACCCCAAGCCAGCTGGGGCATCCCCTAAGCTCCCCAGTCATGCCTGTGCCCAACCACAGATCTTGCATGTGCCAGCAAAGACTGCAGTTGCACTGTGGTAAGCCCTACACATCCCCAACATATCCTTCTGTCAGACCTGGTTCTCTCATGTGTTGGTTAGTGTCATTTCCCAACCTAACGTTATGAGTCTCCTGTTCAGACTCTTGCTGATGGGTGCTGTGATCTAGTCCTGCCAGGTAGGCCTCCAGCTCTAGCTTTAATATGTGCCAGTGAGTGTATTTAGGTGGTTGTCACTGCTGACTATCCCAGCTTGGGTCTCCCACATGTGCTGGTGATTTGGACTGACCTTTAAAAGCCTTCCTCTTACTCCCATCAAACCACTTGGTTTCAGCACCCTTGCTTATCTAAAACTACAGTGGCTTGTCCATGGATGTTCCTCAGGACTCATTCCTCACCTGTACATGAACCCTGAGGTCCCTGCTCAGCTTCCCTTGTGCCATGGTCAGTATGCCATGTAAGCAGACACACCCAAATCCTTAGACCATATTGCTGCTGGGTGGCCCGAGGACTTCCTCTGGCACCATTGGCTCTGGGTCACCCAATCTGGAATCAATTCTGCCACCACTGGGTGAGCAGAGGCAAGAGGACCCCACACAGACCCCCTGAAATCTTCTGCTGCCCCTACTGGGCAAGAGGTATCAAGGTGCCTCCAGGCAGGCCCAATCTGGAGTCACCCCAACTTATGTGTTTATTCTTTATTTTATATTTGACATCCACACTACAATAGTAGTATAAGAGATTATTTTCAAAAGTTTGTAGAAAATAAGACAAATTGAAAGCCATATAATATGCATTTTTTGAAAGACAACGTTTGTGTAAAATTTTTCAGTTATTCCTATTATATAGTGTGATGTCCATGTCCTGACTACTCTACAATGAACCAACATGAGAAGAATGAATTGTTTCTACCACTTTTTGGTTTCCCATGTTTAACAAATGATTTCCACTATCCTGCTGACGTGCAATGCTTCCACTCACCCTCCTTCTGCCTCAGGGTCCAACAAAACTCACTGGGACGGATGCGTAGAGCAAGGGGCCTCACTGAGCAATGAGGGTCTATTCCCATGCATGTCCTGGGGCTCTCACACTAGGACTGTTGGGAAGATTGTTGTCATGGCAAGTTCAAAAACTCAGCATCTCAAGTAAAATTTGTGAAAGCTGCCGGGCGCATCCTTAAAAGGAACAGTGACACACATGCTCACAGACACCTGCACAGACAAGAGGGACAAATGCACAATGTGCATAGGAAGTAAATTCTATATAAGAAGTGACCTTCAGGGCCTGGTACGATAGCATAGTTGCAAAAGTCTTCAACTCGCATGTGCTGGGATCCCATGTGGTCGTCGGTTGTAACCCCAGAGGCCCCACTTCCCATCCAGCTTCCTGCTTGTGGCCTGGGAAAGCAGTTGAGGATGATCCAAAGCCATGGGATCCTGCACCCATGCGGGAGACTGGGAAGAGCTCCTGGACCTGGCTTCAGATTGGCTCAGCTCTAGCCGTTGTGCTCACTTGATGAGTGAATCATCAGATAGAAGAGCTTCCTCTTTGTCTCTCCTCCTCTCTGAATAGCCACCTTTCCAATAAAAATAAATACATCTTTAAAAAAAAAAAAGAAGAAGAAGTGACCTTCAAAAGCACGAAAAAGAGAATTATTCACTGGTCCAGCATGCTTGGATTCCTGAAAGCTCCATGAATATAGCAGAATTCAAACACGGAAGAAATAATATATTCAAATGATCTAAATCATCTAAGACCCAAAGCAGCAGCATTCAGAGGCAAAATGGGAGAAGTCAGAGACACCAATGTCCTGTATTAAGGAGGTGAGGCTGAGAGGTCTACAGGTTTAGATGGCTGCATTCCCCTATGTGAAATGAAAAAGCTGAGGTGAAGTTATTTTTCTCAAGAGCCTCCTCACAGCTCTCTTGATGTCTCTGTTGCTCAGGCTGCAGATAAAGGGGTTCAGCATGGGGGTGACCACAGTGTACACCACTGAGGCCACTGCACATCTCCTGGGAGAAAGTGAGGAAAATGAACTGAGATGCAGTCCAGAGGCTGTTCTGTAAAATAAGCAAACCACAGTCAGGTGAGAGCCACAGGTGGAGAAGGCTTTGTACATGCCCCTGGATGATGGGCCCCTCAAAGTGGTGGAGACAATTTTATAGTAAGAGAAGAGAATCCCTGACATAGGAAAAACAAAAAAAATGATGCCAACCAAATAAATGATCATATCATAGCTGAATGTGTCATGGCAACTAAGGCTGAAAAGCTGAGAAGGGTCACAGAAGAAATTGGGAATTTCCACTCCCTTGAAGCAGGTAATCTCCAAGACGATAAAATTCTGCAGCAGGGAATCCCAAAGGCTAAACACAAAACACATCAAAAGTAAGAAACTGCAACAACTGGGGTTCATGATGAGTTGGTAATGCAGGGGGTGGCAGATGGTAACAAACCCTATGATTAAGCCCTATGATTGCAGCAGCACTCTGCAAATAAGCCACTTGCTTTTTAACAATTTCATTTTAACTTGTATATTCTTTTATTTTTGATGTTATTTAGATAGGTGAGAAGGATGGATGACCATGAGGACTTGCTGATTAGAGTGAGCACTGTGGGGAGTTTTGAGGCATGGGGAAAAGTGGAGGAGACAATTGCTTCCCATTCCTTTCTTCCTGTATCTGGTGGGGTGGAGAGAGAACAGCAGAAATGGCTGCTACCAGTAGCCTGATCACATCAGTACTTGGGAAAGGGGGACAGCAACTTCCTACCATCCTCGGATCCCTGGTGTGGAGCATGCTTGAAGGGTACTGCTTAAGTGGTCTCAGTAGTTCTGAAATGCTGTTGATATAATTGCTGCAAGCTTGAGGAAATCTTTCCAAGTCACATTGGCTGACATTGTTCATCTTAGGGATGTCACTCATCCAAATACTTGTTGTCAAAGCTTGGCCAGAAGACTTCTCTAGTTTGTTCTGCCCTCCATCCTCTGACATGGTACTAGAAGGCCTCTTCAGACCTTGGTGAGCTGGCTGTCATGTTCCCCCATTTGTATCCGGGCATGCTAGCCATTGCAAAGGCATTAGCATCTGAGAAAGCCCAGTCCCAATACATGCATCTCATAGTCAGATCACAAATCCTGTGATTATTTTCCCCTGTGGTGAGAGTTTTGAATCCAGCACTCCATTTTGGGGTACCCCACAGAAACATGCCTGAAATGACCCAAGATTGGCTCCTGTTTGTATCAGACAATGTAGGGTCTTGCTCAGTTTATTACATGCACCAGCTTACATGCATACTGCTGATTGTAGTGTACCAGTCCCATCGCATATACTGAGACAACTGAAATCAGAAGCCAAGAAGTGCAGCCAGGTCTCACAAGTGATAGCAGGAAGTCAAACACCCATGCCAAACCGTGGTGTCCCTCAAGGTGCACATAAACAGGAAATGGACCAGAAGTAAAGGAGTCCAGACTTGCATTAGGTACCAGGACATGGGATGCAGGCTTCCCAAGCTGATGCCTAATCCCATAGAGGCACAACACACCCCTTAGGTCAGTATTGATTTCAGAGCACTGAAATCATTTTCTCTAAAAGCTGCATGAAGTGTACTACACTTACTGCTGCTAAACCCACGAGTGGGCATTGACGTTTGATTTTTCCTTCCTTTTATTAAGTGCCCACATCGCCTTCAAACACCTCATCTGCCCCATCACTGCCTGAGAGGACATTATTTGACTTGTCTATTGCGATGACTTGGAATTCAAAATTTTTGGTCCTTTGTCTCACATGTGAACATTTCTAAAAGCTATGCTCATGAAACTGTTTTTGGTTGCAAAAGCAAGTGACATACAATTTTACCGTGCAATACCTGTGTGTGCTCTCCTGGGGGAAAAATGATCACTGTATGCTCCATTATGTTTTGTCCATCAAATATCTGCCACTGCAGTTTCTGGTAACAATCTTTCATGATAACTCACTAGGAAATATAATCCTGTGATGGGGATTTTTATTTCAATTGGCTCAAGTGGAGCAGCCAGTATAATGAGAAGGAGAAAAGAGCGCAGCATTCTACTCCTGGACAATTCACCTAGGATACACTCTTGCATGCAAACCTTGCCACGTCTCTGTGATTGCGTGTGTTCTGGACAAAAGGGAGTACTAACCTGTGTCTGTGGCCATCTTAGCATTCAGGGGAAGTCAGAACTTCAATAGCTCGTTGTTCTGATTTTTTCGAGCATTTTTTACAGAGCAAGTGTATCATGAATGCTGTTGTCAAGGGAACTGGAGGCATCAGTGATGCCCAAATCTAAGACATGTCTCAGCTCGGGCAGAACATCCGCCTCCTCTTCTGTCTCTTTTTTAACACATCTTAGTAATTCTGCTTTCTCAATATTCACCAAATATAATTATGCAATGAAACTTAAGTTATGTGACAGGACCCCTGTCCTTCTCAAAGACACAAGCCACTGTTATTCTGATATTCCCATGCATCTCCGATTTCATGGGAAGCTCCTGAAAGGGATCAAGGTACCTACAAGATAGCACCAAGTGTGTGGAAGCCTCAATGGTTATGGTTAGACACTGTGAGCCAACCACAACTCCATTCATTATGTAACAGAATTTTTGATGCTTCATCTACTTAAGTATTACATGCAGGCCATAATTTCAGGAGTGAGAGACAGTCATTCTTCCATAAATACACAGCACATAGCTTGTAAGGACATACTTTTACTTTAAAATTTTGGGATTTAGAAGGAAAAGTACAATCTGCTTAATAAAAAAATAGGATTTTTTCATATTTGGAAAATGGATATTATGGAAAAAAAACCTGCACATCGATTTTTTTTTTCTAAAAAGTTGACATCATCATTAGCTCAAATGTTCATTCTATTTTCCATGAATTTTGAAGTTATCTCATACACTGGTGGAAGCAACATCAGTAGGAAAGCACAGTGCTCAGCAGGTCATATTTCAATGAACTAGATGACATGTAACTTCAAAACAATATCTAAAATGTATTTTATCCATCTTTGATGTAACCATCGCAAACATGAAACATCCAAGATAAGTGCTATCATTACTCGAAGTAGCTATACCACTGAGGCACTGATTCTAATATCTGAGAGTGTATAGTGTCACAAATCCTGACAACCCACCATGCACCCAGAACAGACGTGGTCGGTGGAGAATGCCTCCTTCCAGAGGACGTTGTCTCTGAGTCCACTGCATTTGAACTCAATGTTGTCCACCAGGCAGCAGAAAATTCCCTGTATACTTCCAGAGGTTACAATATCAGGTATCTCTGAGGTCCCTTGTTAGTTTCTGCCTTTTCTGCAGTAGAATTGGAATCTAACACCTCAATTCATGTTGCTCTATTCACAGAAAGTTCAGTAATTACAAGAAGTGAAATCTCAGAGAGGGTTCAGCACAGAGCACGTCGATGTAGGACCCTGCGTCTGCCCTGCCAGTCAATTTAGCACCGAATTGATGTCATGTTTCACAGGCTGCTGCCCAGTGTGGTCTATAAAGAAACGATAATGAGGGGGGCACAGTGGGCAGCAGGTCTCTTAATGTAGGAATTAAATGTGAAATCATTTCTCAGGAATCAGAGGGGTATGGTGGCCGTGCTTCCATAGTGTTTGGAACCAACACCTGATACGTTAAAACCTCATACAAGAAGACTAACGCAAAGCGCTGAGCTCCTCCCCTCTCAAACAAAGTAAAAAGGAACATGTGCAGTGCACCTTAAACCATTAGGTAACAGGATGAAGCAGTGTGCTTAGACACAGAGTTCAGACACTGTATGTTGTGTTTCCTGGCATCCCTCATCATAAGCTCCCTGGTCATCTTTGAAGATTTAAGAAAAGTTTATACAGACTCAGTTGCTACTATCATGAAGGACATGCTGGTGGGAAAATATTGATGTGAAGGAAACAAAACTCAAAATGAGATCTTGAGATACAGATGAGAATCATGTTCATAAAATGAAGTGGTTTCCTGAACTGAAATGTTAGCTGCACTCTATTGCAGTCATCATTTCTTTCCTGATGCTGAGAAAATAATGCTCCTGACATTTCCAGATCCCTCTACCATCTTCCTTAGCACTTACCAGGATGTACTCAAACTCACATTTTCTTATTCAGGACTGGAGAAGAGACAAATTCAGGTCATTTCTTCCTCATGCAAATGCTCCCAGTGTTATGGGAAAGAGCATGGAGCTATGAGATTTCCATTGATGGAGTGATGTGGTGAAGGTGCTGGTTCATTATTTACACTTGGGAGACCCTGGGAGCTCAGTACTCAGAGCTCCTTGTTAGGCAGCAGGTCCAGAATATCCCAGTCTCAGAGGACTGGCTGACACTGACAGAGGAGGGAATGGGGAAAAGCAGTGTCCTTGGGACTTAGACAGAAGGAAGCTCACCTGTGACACTTTGCTGCTGATTCCCAAATGCAGGATGATGAGCACTTGAGAGCAAGGGCAAACCTCTTCAATGGAAAATCTCTCTCTCTCTCTCACACACACACACACACACACACACACACACACACGCACACACAAACAAGCACACATGTTGTAGCCCATGGAGATATTTTCCCAGAGGATTTTTGATCGTCTCCCTGAATCTTCAGCAAGTCTGTTGGTCAAGGGCTTTCCTTGTATGAAGTGAGGACAGAAGCATTGGGACCATTTCCCCAACTGAGCAGAGAACACAAGGGATTCTTAGAAACTAGAAAAGATGACACAATCCAAGGAATAAATCATATCATCAGGAATAGATTTCAAAAATGGTTATTTTTTTAAAGATCGATTTTTATTTGAAAGGTAGATTTTTACAGAGAAGGAGAGACAGAGAGAAGTCCTTCTTCCATTATTTCACTACCCAATGATTGCAACTGAAATATACAGTAAAGTTTTATCCAGTTGATTTCTCTATTGATTCATTCAATTTTCTTACTGTATATTTCAGTTTCAATGTTTGACATGTACTAATAGCTCTAATTTTTAAAACATTTTATTTCATAATCATTTTAAATTTTAAAAATGGGGGTAAGAAAAATTTCTCACATTTCTTCACCCAATTTTCAGAGTTTCAGGTTCTAACACCACCAGTGCCTGGTTGGGCCTCATTTTGTGTGCTGAAAAAATTGCCACAAGGCAGGAGGACCAACCACAAGCACTGCATTCACTAAGCCAAAAGAAGACTCATTGCTGGCTTGGCAGAATACAATGGTCCAACAGAAAAAAAAAAATAGTATCAAATTGGCATCCTTACAGGTTACGCCCAGGATAGGTTCGGGTGGTCCCCAGGATGAATGGCCAGCAGGACCAGATACCACAAATGCCACATCAAGTGCCAGTTTGTGTCCTGAGGAAAAGGCTTTGTGGTAAGAAAAATAACAGTGAGCTCCACAGGCACTAAGCTGGCAGAAAGCTTACATCCAACTCAACACATTGTACAGGTTAAAGGGAAAATAGCACCAACTCAGCTTTCAACAGATTCCTCCTAAAATAGGTCTGGGTTGCCCCCAAACTTAACAGACAACAGGTCCAGAACGCCATCAGAAACACATCACGCACCATTTTGTGTACTGAGGAAAGGTCATGGGGCTGAAGGAACAACAGCGAGCTGCGGAGGCACAAAACCAAGAGAGAACTCACTTCTAGTTCAATGCAGAGCACAGATATCATAGGGAAAATATTACTGACATACAATCTGACAAATTCCAACCAAAATAGGTCCAGGTGGCCCTCAGGTGTACAGCATCGTAGGTTACCTATTCATGAGCCAGTTGGTCCAGGATGTCATGGTCTCTGAGGACTGGCTGATATGAATGGAGTTGGGAATGAGGAAAAGAATGAGTACCTAGGAACTTGACACAAGGAAGGTCACCTGTGCTCCTCCGTTCCTGGTTCCAAGGACGCAATCTGAACATAAAACTCACAGTTCTAGTTCTCAGTTTCAACTCAGAGCATGAGTTTTCCAATGTTTCAA